GTTTACAACTTCGTTCCTATCAGTATAAGATGCCCTCGGTGGCGTAGCGTGGCTGGCATGGACCCTGGCGCAAGAAATACAATCGGCCTCCCTGCCCAATTTCCCTCTTAGTCAGGCGCCTGGACCCATCCGGCCCGTGGACTCGCGATGCGGTTGCACCGCCTGCGCACTCAGTAGCTAAATGTGCCGCAAAACTAGACACTTGCGTTACACGTGCATGCATTGTGTCGAATGTATGTTGGAACCTCTTTCGCACCGTACGTGGCCAACCGTGCTAATCGGAGGTGTTGGTATGTGAACTACACAATAGTCGTCACGACTAGCTAGAGCGAATAAACAGCTACTCGTCAGCTCAGCTATATAAAAAAAAATAAACCCACAATACGGCTTACACATCACCTGCTTCAGCAAGTCTCTTATTTAACTTCACTGCAGTTTCAATATTTACTTAGTGGTCAATGATCAATCTTAAGCCGCCATTCATAAAGCATGTCGATACAGTATAGCCTTGAGCCCAGCTCCCCCGTGTCTATATATAGCCCCGTGTAAAAAAATATATAGGGTCCTTTGAATACAAAAAAATGTGCTCAGTGCCAGGTCTCTTGATTTATCTCCGCAGGCCAAATGGCCGACGGAGGAATGCTGCCGATAACTTTATGGGTCACTGCAGCATTTTCTTGCCTGTCGGCTGCCACATAAACAGGACCCAGAGGATGTATTTCCAACTGCTGCCTTACACGTGGGGGAGTGGGGAGACATTTGAAGAAGTATGGCAAAACAAACCCCACCCACGGCCGACTTGGCACGAGGGGGGGGGGGTCTTCATCCATCCAGCAGTGGATTGGCACATGTTTAGCAATTGCGAATGTTGGCTGTGCCCACTATTCCAGCAGTAACTGGTTTGCTCTTTTGTGGTTTGTAAAACGTTGCTGCTGCTGCTGCTTAGAATGCCAACGTGGACTTGTGATAAGCAGATCGATAGAAGCTCGTGTTGGAATAATTTATTTTGCTTATAAAGGGTATAAATTGGTAAATACCGTCGCCTGTTGTTGTTGCAGCATCGGTGGGATTCTGTGTGGTTGTTACTGGCGAGCCAGCCTGTCTGTAACCGCGGGCGAGGACTTTTATTCTGGAGAGTTAGGAGAGGGAGGGGGTGGGTGCACGAATCCATGAACCCAGTCATGTGTGAGGCGTGTCAGCGTGTGAGCAGGGCACGGAAAAAAAACACAGCACTCTTCATGAGAACAACGAAAAGCGTGCGTGCAGTGTAGCAGGGCTGCAGCGGCGGGCGCTTTGATTGTCGCTGCCACACCGACTTTGATTGCTGAGCAAACGACACCTTCACGAGCCCCTTTCACCGACCCGCGCTCTTGAGCAGCGTGGTGAAGCATGGTGAAACGACTCTATAAACTAATTCAATATTTTTAGTTTTATATATATTTTTTTATTTTACCAGGTAAGGCCCACTGAGCCGTACAGTTATTTTGCGGAAGCGACCTGGCCACAAATGATAAGCTCAACGAAGTGGCTTATCACTGTGGAAATGTATCGCAGCCGAATACTCTGAACGCGTGACGTTGATTCTAAATGTGGAGGGAAAAACTGGAGGACCCGGAGAAAAATCCACGCGACTGCAGGGAGAGAGACACGCAAACTCCAAATATACAAGCGTGAGCGTCGTGGTTGTCTACCAGGCGAGGTTGTTAACATCTCGCCACCGTGACGCAGGCCTTCATTATGTTGTGTCTTGTGATTTATTGAATAATATTAATATTATTGTTCTTCTTCTTTGGTTCTTAAATCGAAATTTAATATTATTGTTGTACAAGGAAGCATTGCTATCGATGAGTAAAATACACAAAGGAAGAAGTGACCTGGACATATTTGACGTGCTTCCAGCAGGTGACAGAATGCAGCAAACGTGCACGAATGCCGTGCTTGGGTGGGTTTAAAAATGGGAAAGACCAATTTTGGTCAAGAAAAACATTTGAAACTATGCCAAGCAGTTTTAGTGGCGTAAAAGTATGCTTCCCTTCTTAAAAAAAAAAAGAAACATTCACAAGCTCTCACAGATTTTGTTGTTCCTTTCTCTCTGCTACGTATGTGCTCAAACCAAAATTTACCGCTGCTTGTAGTGTTCGATGCTGGCACATAGAAAGGCGCTTCTGTGCTTCTCCTAAAGCCGACATGCTCTCTGCCTTCCGTTAAGCCGCGCCAACCAGGGCGGTGAAGTATGGTCAATTAATCCCCGCACAACCCCGAACGGTGGATTGACAAAAGGGCTGCAGCATGTACGGTACTTAAACGGAGTAAATAACCGTGAAATAGCAAAGTACTGCATTGTAAAGACTTTAGCTCCACAACCTGTTGTACGTGGTGGTCGCACCTTCCAAGCAGTGCCGGATTAAGCTAATGCGGGCCTGTAGCATATGTTGTAAAGGGGCCCTAAATAAAAAAAACACAAATATTAAAACACATAAATGTTTAGCTTGCATGGTAAAGTAATTGTATTTTTTCATTTGCTATACAGCCAGATGATACGACAAATCGCTAACCTTAAACACCCAGTAGTTCGTAAAAGTTGAAGGCGGTATAGTACTATAGTAATAGAGCAAGTGCAGACTCACTGAACCGGAATTGATAGCTTGAAATCATTTAGTGCGGGGCCCGTAGCATATGTAGCTACTTTTGCTACTAGGATAATCCAGCACTGCATCCAAGCACTATCCAGTCTCAACGGCTGCTTGGCTTCTGAGAGCTGACAAGATTGGGCGACTTCTGGATGATTTGGCAATGGGCAAGCATTGTACAATGCTCCCATCAATGCTGCCGCCCTCAGACAGACGTGGGCCCCCTTGACCCATCTATATTCACTCACTGCATCGCAAGCATGAATTCGGACTTTCAGTAATCCATCCGTCCGATCTGCAGGTCAGCAAAAAAACATTAGCAGCAGCAGCAACGGCGGAAGTCGACGACAATAACAACAACAATCCAGAGGCCTTAAATCACAACCGGAAAAGAATTGGTTAAAGCTCTCCCCCTCCCACTCTCTTCCACTACAGCACTTTACTGAGCAGCAAGAAAACTTGCACACAGACGCACGTCGTGTTATCATGGAGCATTATGGGTAACCCGCCCATAAATAAACATACATTCGTTCTGCGTCTCCAAGTACAAATAAAATAAAATGTGTTTTAGTCAAAGGGGCCGTCCATAAATGAGGTCACGTACCTGGGGGGGGGGGGGGGGGGTCAGACATTTGTGACGATGTGTGACGAGGGGAGGGGGGTGTGAGAAATGTGACGTCACATCAAAATTCGCAACTTTTAATAAATATAGACAACACGTTCTACTTAATTAAATAGACTTTTTAATAAATGTTTTCTCCTACAACATCAGAGTGCGGCGCCACATTAAATACGCACTACAATGACAATAGTTTAAAGCGATTTGAAGCATCTTTTATATATATTTTTTTGGGCGGGGGGGGGGGCAGAGCTTTGTGACGTCACATTTGAGGGGGGGGGTCTGACTTTTTGTGTGACGAGGGGGGGGGTCAAAAAACGTCCAAAATCGCGTGACGTCACTTATGTAAGACCCCAAAGGCCTATTGGTTCATATTGCTTTGGAAAGGCGATCGGCCGATGAATGAACACCCGAGCCCTTGAGTGCTTTGACACTGCAGGGGACACGGCGCAACAGGTGATAAGCCACTAAATCCAGACACTTGTTGGTATGAGCAAGAGGCTTGGTGATGTAAGTCACCGAGTCATGGTGTTATGTTGTTGTGCTGTAAACACACACACACATAGGCCATGCTGCTTGTGTGTGTGTAACGTTTGGGAAGCGGTAGTTTACAGCGGTTAGCACACCGCGCTACGAACCCGGCGACCGGAGTTCGATTCTCGCTCAATGTGCCAACACCAGTGACAATTATCTGAACCGGTCCTGGGCTTCCCCTAGGTCGACTGAGCCTCAAATTTAGTACTTTATGTGGTGTGTAAACATCGCCACTAGGGGAGACAAAGGTGGCCGGGCGTGGTGCTGGCCACCCACCCCCTCGTGTGCCGTGCCGACCTTCATAGGTGCTCGCTAACAGCAATCTTTGTCTTTGTAGCACGTTTCACTTTGCATGGTGTTTATATTTGTGTTGTGTTTTTCAGAAAGCCTTAAATTAATTTCGTGTGAATTTGTGCATGGGTTGCAATGCCGGTACAGGGAGATTATCTGTGAATGAAACACAGATTTATCACCATCATCAGGGCCGCCTATAGGGGGCGCCAGAGCCCGGAGAAAACGCCACTGTATGGGCCCCCCAAAGCACGGGGACCAGGGCAGTCGCGCCAATTCGCCGTAACCTGGGGACGGTTCTGGTCATCGTTGTCAGCCATGCTCAATCCACTGCTCGCTCAATCTCTCGCATTCCTGCGACATGGAATGACATCTAGTGCCCGCACGTGAGTTGACTTAACCCCTCCATCTGCTACGGTGGATGTGCTCTCGGCCGAGGTCTCTCTTCGGCGAGTCGCCGATTAACCGGAGATGGAGCGATGAAATCAGCTCGTGTGCAAGGCGCTGGGTGGATGGTTACATCACAGGATCATGATATTGCCTTGTTCCAGCAGCAGATCGCTTATCATGACCAACTGATGACGATGTTGATAATGACAAACGAATGTCACGATGAATCAGACACTGAATTCACGATGAAGGTTTTTTGACTTAGATCGCGTAACAGAGTCAATTAGTGCCAATTAGTTACTACTTCAGCACACTGGTCTGTTGGAGAGTAAACCCGCAACATTTACAATTCGAGTACTGTGACGTTTCGCCGGTGATTACAACCAGCTTCATCAGGCGATCAACCAGAATTAAAATTGACGTGATCTAACGCCCCCCCCACCCACCCAAAAAAAAAACCTTCATTATGGATAACATTGGTCGCGAAGGCCTACGCGTTAAACAAATGCTGAGTTGCCCAATTGTTGCTTTCGCAGACGCACGTCACGTATGCCGAGGTGAGGCTGCAGCCGGCGAAGAGCGAGGATCAGCAGCGGAGGAGCAACTCGGAGGTTCATTACGCCACCATCGTCGGCACCGTCAGCGGCGGCGGTGACAGCGAGTGCTTTTACGCCACCGTGCAGGAGGCCATGCCTGCCTCGAGGAAATGAGTGTCACAGCAACCCCTCCACCCCCCACCCCTGACTGCCGATTGTAATATTTTTTTATATATAAATTTTCGTAAACAAGCCACGTGCCGCTTATGACCCCACACTTAATAATCAAACACGGTCTTAACTCGCCAGGCAATGTAATCGACCTGCCCACCCCGTTTCGCACGAGGCTATAATTTTTTTTTTACGATATATATAGAAAACAAATCTATAATCCGGCATGCTTGACACAAGCACGCGCTCCCTGTCACAATAGACGATCGATAAGCACGGACAATTACGTACGTCCGAAATCATCACCACGACGCAGCAAAGCGTTGATGAATTCAGTTGTGCCTCCCAGGTCAGGTCGCGATTGGCCCAGGAGACAAGGTGACACGTCGTGCAGCGGCTGTGACTCGCGTGCGCACAATCAACGGTATAAGCACTTAGTCTTTTCACATTGGGCTCATCGTCAAGCGAACTAAACTTTCAGGGATTCTTTGTTGTTGTTGTTCTTGTTGTTGTTTTCTATTCCAAGACGACTTTATTTATGAGACTACGGCACGGGCGATGACAAACAACTGCATGGCCGCAATGAGTTTGGCGCACGGGAGGCATTCGACATAACACGTGGCGAGTCTGTATATTTTTACGATGTATGTTTCGTCCAGACATCTCCCCCTAGTCCGCTCCACCAGTTTCCACGAACGAGAAGTATTATTTTTTTGTTTATACCATATGTAGTTTTTACGTGAACAATGTCAATAATTGTGAACGATTCGAACCTTTATCGAGTCAATTGGATGATAATTGGCCCTGGAGCTGCTAATTCAGTCTATCATTTACGATAACCTCGGTGCAAAATTGTCGCTGCATCTCAATATCATACAATGGATCGGCATGCACGCAGTTTCATGTCCCCCCCCCACCGCACCTCCAATTTGTACGGCGCGAAAGAGGTTCAACATACGTACACACGTACACGCACCTTGCCGAGCAATGTGTGCCAGAGCCGGTGAATCTTATCGGACTTTCCGATCAACTGATATATGCAGATCTGGGTCAGTTTGGGGCCAAATAAACTGCAAAACTGCATGCATAAGGCATTGTAATTCGAATCTCATTATTCACAGCATGCGTGTAGCGGTTTTTCAATTCATCAAGTAAAATCTATTCATATTCTCACGGTACACGCATCGAATCGTAACATCCCGCAAGTCGGCGAATGATTTCTGCATTATATGCGAATAATACGCTCGCATTGTTCCATGTAAATGCCACAGCGACAAACAGAAAACTGGAGCAACAAGACGACAACGATCGAAAAACGATACAAAAGTGAAGACGCAACACAACAACTGTTGCATCAAATCGAGAGCCAAAATCGTGACAATCCATAGAATTGCTGTGGTTGGTAAATCTTTGCATGCCCACTGCCAATGTTTGGATATCACTCATCAAGGATGTTAGCCGTGGCTGATAATGGAGCTCAGTTCACAGAGTTCACAGGGAACTCTGCCAACCACTGCACCACTGCAAAGACAAAGATCCCCCGTATAGCCTGTAATAGACTGTCTTTGCAAGTGCTGTTAGCGAGTAGCACCTATGAAGGCTGGCACAGCACACGTGGAGAGGGGGGGGGGGTCAGCTTTACTCCCGGCAGCCTTTGTCTCCCCAAGTGGCGACATTTACACATCACAATACCAGGTACTCACTTTTGAGGCCGAGTCGAGCTAGGGGATGCCCAGGACCGATTCAGATGATCGCCACTGCTGTTGGCCGTGAGCGGGAATCGAACTCGGTTGGCCGGGTTCGTTCATGCAGCGTGCTAAGCGTTGCACCAGCGTACCCCAACCAATTGCTCCGCCACGCATACAAGATGCATGATGAGTACATGATACTGAGGATACGAACCCTCGGAGCTCAGAGTAACAATCGCCTGGTCCACATCAAAGGCACCGACTGCCATCGTTGTGTAAAAGCTCATTGAGCCGTCGAGTGTATCTCGGTATTGTTATTTGCGTGCTTGTGTGTGTGTGTCTGTGTGTCTGTGTGTGGGAACCTCGTGCTGGAAAGCTACGTTAAATGCTCAATACAATTGGTACAATGCGTCGACTCGTGGATGGGAAAATGTATTCTTGAGCTCGCGAACACGTGACTCGGATTGCGCGGTGTTCTTCACGAATGTTCAGAGGCGGGATGGGGAGGGTTGGAGAGGGCACTTCCACCGATGGGACATTGTTAGCGTGTGGGGGCAGCCGACACGCGTGGAGCCATTGGCGAGTTTGACAGCAGCACGACGACGACGACGATGATGATGATGGGCGCTGTTTGTCACGGGTTGTGTATTACTCTTTGGTTCTTTCGGTAAAGCCACGTAGAAAAAAATAAAATCAAATAAGAATAGAATACGACGTTTTTCGGTTGCAACACAAGCAGCCATCATCAGGTAAGATCGAATGATAAAACACAGACACGGAAACAACATAGGGAGACACACATGCAGACACACCGAGCGAGTCTACGTGACTTTAATGAAAGAACCAAAGAGTAATTCCTGCAGGCACGAAAACTTCGAATCTAGTGATGTGTATTGTCCGCGGCGAGCACGTAAGCGGTCGCACTAAAGGCCACCAGGATCCGCCAGTGGACCGCGGGCCTTGCAATGAACAAGACTGGAATGGCGTGCGTAAGGGAACGATGCTTTTCAACGTCTGTGTTGTCCGTAATGAGGCCATGTCACACCTGCGGCCACTGGAAGCGCTGCCATTCAACGCAATGTGTTTTTTTTTTTAAACAAAGAATCGATCATTGAATTGAATCGCAGCCTTTAAGCGCGATAATCAAATCACAATGGTAGTCAATTATTACCCTCCTACTTTATGAAGAGTTGTCAGCCCTGAACTTGGTGTTAGAGTTACGTTTATTTTACTTGGTTGAAAGAGTGCGGGGGCTCAATATCGTTTTTTTTAATACCGAGCGTTGTTTTGGGATGTCAGACGTTTCGCTGACAGCTCGTTCAGGAACCGAGCCGGGACAGCTCACGTTGGAGGTGCAGCAATCCAGCAGGCGCAGCGAAACGTCGAACGTCCGGCGGAACGCGTAAAAAGAACTCGCGCGCGCGTCCGTACAACTCGCACAACGATATCGGGAGAGCTTTTAAAAATGCGTAGCGTTTGAACAAAGGCACGTGTTTTCGGGTCGAGAGTGGAAGGAGAGAACGCAGCGATTCCTGAAGAGATAACACCCGCAATTACGACGGCACCCTCCGGATCAAATGTCTTTCCTGCCTAATACAAACAAACAATAAGGTGATCCTGTCGTTGGTTTCTTCATAGAGTGGGAGGGTTGGGGGGTCCACTCTGCCCCCCTAAGTAATCAGACCAGGTGTGTAGAGCCGTCACACGGGCATTCCCGTTTCGGATAGCGTACCGTCTGGATGGTTCGGTATAGTACGTTCTCCAGATTAGAGGCCTCCGGAAAGTGAAGCTCAAGAAGAGACTGAACGTAGCTTCATTTGCAAGAGTGACTTGGGGGTGGGGTGGGTGACGATGGGTATATGTGTAATCCCAATCGAGTAATTCTCGAATTTGGCAAAAATTTGGACCGTGGAAGACGATCTCCCGGTGTCAATACGCCTACAGTTATACAAATATGGACACACACTCTGAATCAGATTATAAGACGCACCACCCCATGATCATTTAATATGCAGGGGGATTAAGTGCATCTCATAATGTACGGTGGTAATGTGAAGCATGGGGTGACATCATCACCCGTCATCGCTCGCTCATGTTGAACGTCTATGCCATGACGTATTTTATTTTAAATTTCTGTGTGTACGCTTTGGTGTCATTTGTTACGCTTGCTATTTTTTAAGTATATTTTTTATTTCAATACGTTTATTGTAATGTTTATTTGTCGATGTTCTAGGTACGTCATCATTTATTATTACATGGTTTATAGAGTTGTGTTGTGCCAGAATGTATTTTCAGTTAGAATATTTTAAATATAAAGTTTTAATTTGTGTATTTCTTTGTTAAGTGTAATGTTTTCACATATGTATGCACACACACACAACGTACATATACTTTTAATATATAAGCAAAACTCCATTCTGTCTCCCACTTTCAACAACACCTTGCAGATCAATGTTATCAGCAGCATTAGATTCACCAAGAAAATGTTGTAATCGGTTTCAACCTTCTGGGTCTCATCGTCAGAATCACTTAAACAAATGCTGCTGGGTTTGCAAATGTTATGAGTCAGAGCACTCCGTTTAAACTATGGGCCCCCTGTTCAACGCAATAAAGAAATACTGTATTGTGCACGATATGCTATATAAGCAGAGCATTATACACAGCTCACCAACATACTAACTATTTTTGGAATTTCACCAGGTAAGGCCCACTGAGCTGTATGAGCTATTTTTTTCGGAAGCAACCTGGCCACAAATGATAGCTCAACGAAGTAGCCTATCAATGTGGACATTTATAGCAGACAAATACTCTACACGCGTGTCGATTCTAATTATGGAGGGAAAAACAGGAGCACCCGGAGAAAAATCCACGCGACCACGGGAAGAAATATGCTAACTCCAAATATACACGCGCCAGGGTTGGGATCGAACCCACGCCCTCCTGTAAACCAGTTATTTGGGTATCAACATTCACCCGGTAACATCAGAGCCTCCCCCGAGGATTTGAATGTCAGTGGAATTTAATTAGTAGCTTGGTTACATTACAATCATAATAACTATTGGAAAAACTGCGCGGTCATGCCGAAGACCCCTAATTATAACTCGACTTTACACATTGTGATATTTCAATGAAACCCACGTAGTGTCTATGTTATGCATGATAAGCGATATCATCGTAAACACTGCCGCAGGATAATTTGGAGACTAAACATTAAATAAAGTAACAATAAATTAATTGCACATCATAACAACCTTGGTTTTTTTTTCAGATTTAACACGCGCCAAGGGAATGTTTTGTTATTTTAATGCTGCTGTGGTGTTATTGCGAGCACACTGGCCTTACAATCCAGACGGAGGTTCTGGTGGTGCGTTTGTTTGTTTGTTTTTGAGCTGCCCGCCTCTGTCCACCACCAGTGTAAATGGGTACAACCATTAAACCGACATGCAAAGCACTATTGTAATGATGGGGAAATAGCCATTCAGTACATATATTATTTTTTATTATTGCATATATATTTTATCCAGAAGTATAAAATGCACTATCTTTGACGTTACGATAGAACGATATTTTACAAAACACACCACGAAAGCTCATCTCATTCGGATGTTGCTGGGGTTGTTAGTGGTTCACACAGTGGCCTCAATGCTGATCTCCCAGTGGGTGATTCGATCTCCAGGCCCAGCAGTTGAAACAAACGAGCGCGCTTATTAAAAAGAACACACACATCTTCCCACACCCCTCCACCCAGCAGTACACGGTACAGTATACAGCACTGTCGATCGGCAGGAGGGGTTAAAGTGTGGGTAACTCGTGGCGTGAGCAATCAATTGCAGGGCTGCGCCTTTATCGTTTAAACAATGCACGTTGGGTGGGGCGGGTCCCATTCCGGGCCAAGGTTAACATTACTGGCGATTGATATCTGAACCGGTCCTGGTCAACACTAACCCGTACCGACCAGCGTGGTGAAGTATAGTCAAAAGCCGCACCCCATAACCAACACAGCGCGGGGTAGCTTTCATCCAGCAGTGAATTGAAATTCCATTAAAAATTCGCAAAATAACTCTTAGATACACGAGACGATGAGAGCTTAAACATTAAATTTTGATTTAAAGCTTTCGTAACTGCAGTAATTCATATTCTTAGCTCTTTCGGTAAAGTCACGTTGTTTCCCTTCAACGTAACTTTACCGAAAGAGTTAAGAATATGCTTAAACATTACATTACTTTTAAAGAAAACATAAATTACGCATCGTAACAATATGGATTTCTTTTCTTTCGTACTCAAGAAGAGCCCTTGCATGTTGTTGCCAGCCATTACTTTCGAATGTATAAACATCTCTGAATGAATCGGCACCTGAAAACAAATTAGCCTCCACTCAAGGAACGCTATAAGAACAACAACATTGATTGCGAAATGCTCCAATAACAAAAGGGTCTCGGTGCCGCCCACCGTGGTAACCGCAGGGGTTAAGTCGGTAGGGCACCCGCAGCTTGAACTCTGCGTGCCCCAGCAAGGCAATAAGAATGGGAATTAGTGACCTCGAACTGCTCCCAGTGGGAATGCTGCCGTGGTGCAATGGTTATAGCACTTCTAGATTTGAAGCTTTCGTGACTGCAAGGATCCATACTCAATGGTTCTATTCGGTAAAGTCACGTAGGTAAAAATAAAATTAAAAAAATCACGACGTTTCGGCCACAACACAAGTGGCCTTCATCAGGTGAAGGGACTGGACTGTCCAGAGGACAGCGTTGGAGTGAAGACAGCAAGCCCAGGTCGCGTCCTTTAAGCTGTTTCCTCCCACACAGCTTAAAGGACGCGACCTGGGCTTGCTGTTTTCACTCCAACGCTGTCCTCTGGACAGTCCAGTCCCTTCACCTGATGAAGGCCACTTGTGTTGTGGCCGAAACGTCGTGATTTTT